GAAAAGCTTTGTTCTAATCTCAGATCTTGCAATTATTTTGACCTCAGCAACGCAGTACTACCCACCCTTGCTGCCCATGTATCCAAGACAGGGCATTTTCTGCATTGTCTGAGAGGACTCTCTCAGACGCAGAGTGCTGAGCCTCCAGCACTCTGTAAGAAGGCACTGTCTCTGCTCCCTAAAACACATTGGGTCAGTTGTGCATCATGGAAAAATCTCTCCTTCTGGTTTCTGCGTTCAGCTATCTTGAGTGTGAGGCTTGACTACAACCACATTTTTCATGCAGATACATACATGTTTTAAATAAGCTGAGGGAAATAAAGGCACTTTGTTCTCCTCATGGCCCCAGATAAAAGGGGATGAAGAGATGAGTTCATGAATCTCACAGACACCTGTATATAATATACTGAATAAACAAAGAGTTTCTCAGCTATAAGCTTTTGATTCTTTTTTCTGTATAACATACTTGCCGATGACCGTGTAGGCATGTAACCTTCATGCTGCTTCCCATCTTCAGGCATTTTGCATTGCCTTTATGCATGCAGCTGGCAGACATCTGCACCCCCAGAATGACTTCTGGCAACTCCAAGGACGTATTCAACAGTAACATACTGACCTTGTACATAAATGACTGCAGCTGACCTCATGAAACCATTAGGGGATGACTACTGCCTGACCATAGATCTAGAGTACTGATTTTGTACACCGAGCAATGAAGAAACCTCCAGGGTAGCAGAGACCTGAGCTTGCAGGTAGCACAGCGGCAGGTTAATCATTCTTAGTGGTTGGGTCCACAGCCAATCTTTTCCCAGAACCAAAGCTTCAGGTAATAAACCATGTTTCCTAAATATGATTATACCACTTCTGATCTCAAGATTACGGTTGCCCGGTGCCCTGTTATTTCAAGGATGCTCTATAAAGCAATGCTAGGCAGAAAACTGCCACCCCATAAATAGTAGAGGTTCATTACTATAGTAACTGGCATAAAAGCCTTACAATGCCAGATCTGACTACCTTCTTTCAGGCAGGATTAGCACAGACTGGTAACAAATCACTCATTTCTTGGGGTTTTTATTTGCCTTGGCTTTCTGGCAATGTTGTTTGCTTCTTGGTGCTGAAGATGGTGGAGGGATTTCAGCCAGAAATTGGTTATTACAAGGTGTATCAGGTGCCTGAACACAGATGTTTGGTCCATTCTGCTATCTCTTAGGGTGCCTGTCTGGCACTCCAGGAGGGCACAGCCCTCCTGAGTCTAATCTGCCAGGACACTTTTTCTGGGTGGCTCAGGTACCCTTTGGCATGTAAAATGGCAGTAGGTCTTATGCTTAAGTGCTGAGTTACTACCTAGGTGAGATACTAATTTTCCGTCACCCACCTTCCTCCCAGGTATGTCTGTATGTCCTCCCTCAGGCAAGAGCAGCTAGGAAATTCTGCCAAAATGTTATTTTACCTTTCCTACCCTATCCAAAGACATTCTCACAATTTAAAGAAGCCATCTGTTCACTTTCTTCTCTCTGCTCACTAATCCCTGCTTCCCAAACATGCATGGCCAAGCTAGTCCCATCAGTTATTAACCTTTCCTGCTTCCCACGTTGCACTGCCAGGAGTGCAAGTTCATTAGCACTTCAGCTGTCTCTGTGCAGATTAGGCCCAGAGGCAGCCAGGAATTTGGACAAGACGTATAAAACTGGCAGTATATTCAGTACACTGGTATATGGTATATTCTTAGCTACATTACTTACACATTCTTCCCACTGCTCTGGCAAGAGCTCCCCAGCGCTCCTGCTTCTGGGCTTAGTACTGGTGAAGCAGTGTGGGTGTCTTCCCACAGGATGCAAACATGCTCTTAAGCCTTGCTCCTGCTAAAGCCAACTGAAGCTTACCCTTTGCCTCAGCTGGTATATAGCTGCACCCTTGGAGCTAACTTGCCAATGTGGAAAAGCTACTGTGACAAAATAATTTTGAAGGGCTTCCTTGCAAATGAAGGAATGGTTTCTGTGGTATTAAACAGACTTATCCTGCCCATGAATAACTTTATTTTCTCTTGCACTGACTTTATCTAAGCCCCTTGTAATTGCATTTGCAAAATGGGTTAAGAACATGGATCAATCTGGCTGGCAAGTATCCAAGTCCCTGTAAGCACACCAAGAAAAACACAGAGGTCACATCTTGTTAGTCTAATCATTCAAACTTCAAACATTAAATACTGCCTGTAATTTAACAGGGATGTTAGTCTACCATTTTGGGTATAATTGGTAATTTTAATCTGTAAAAAGATGCAGTATCCATATCAAGTAAATAAAAATATTCTGATGGTTATTATGTACCAACTGATGTGTAGGCTGAAAAATAGTAGGAGGTCATTGTTTGGGTTCATATACCTGGGAAGAGGTGAAAGTTATTAACAACACTGTAGCATTGATAATTTTGCTAATAGCTGCACTCCACGAGAAAGCGAAAGGTAATCCTGTTACTTTAAAAGGTAGATAGTATAATTGTTTTAAGCTCAGAATGAGTTAAAAGAATATGAGTCCATGGATCACCAAATCCAGTGTTTCCTATAATGCACGCTTCATCATATAATCCCTTTTCCATAACTGATCATCCTGTCTTGAATTAGGGTATTAACCTGTTTGTAACTGCTGGGTGGCTGTTATGTAGTTGGCCATCAATATGTACAGCTGCCGACTTAAATCTATTTATTGACAGTTTTTTGTTCCTGTGCCAGAAAAGTCATTTAGTGAAACAGCCTTTTCCCGTTCCTGCTGTTAACCTTCTGGTATATTTTCTGAGCACAGAGCTCCGTTAGACTTAGTTTGGCTAGGCTCAGATGACCCTACTCTTCCAGTTTCCGTTTGTAAGATGTCTCTCCATTCCTCTGCATGGGTGAGAGACCTCTCTGCAGTCACCTTTCTGAAGCCCAAGGCTGAAGACAGGTGAGGCCCATGGGACCTTGTGCAATGGCACAAGCACTTCCCACACGCCTTAGGGGATAGTAACTCTAGTACACACCAGAGACTGCACTTTTCTTTTCATGGCCATGTTGCGCTGGTGGCTTGTAGTCATCTGAGTACAAACAGGACATTTTCCCTTTGGTTTAGTTATAGAGCTCCATTTCTGGTTGTACAGACTTGTTCAAAACCTGTATACCAGGAGCTTGTCTTCATGACTTTACAATCACGTAAGTTAGATCCAGTGTCTGGTTTCCCCCCATTTTGCGTACATTAAACATCTTTTGCTTCACCACACTTCCAATGTGATGATTTCCATTTCCGTAACTTCATTCCTGTTTGCCATTTTACCCTCCTGTTCAGCATCATTGTCCTCACTGAAAACAGAAATGAAAATTAATTGCACTTGGAAGCCACACTTAGCAGGCTTTCGCTCTCCTCTTTTGGTGCATATGGCTAAAATTTTATTTTCTTTGCAGGGTTAACCTCAGTCTGCTGTTTGGCAAGTCTCGCTTTACTTTTGTACTGCCTGGCACCTGTTATTTCTGAAACCTTGCTGTTTTGAAATTGAAAGACTTATTCAGAAGCCCTATTTTTTTTTTTTACCCTTCCCTTCAATTTACTTGAAACCTGTGCAAGATCCCGTAAACCAAAGTTATATCACATCGCAGAAACCTTCTGAAAAAGAACTGGGAAAAGGGGACATAGGTGAGTGTGGTTGCTGTGTAAAAGTTTCATGATGGCTCTTGCGAGCTTAAGTTAACAAGACATCTCAGGATAACACAGATATGCCTACAGTGCAAGCAGTAATGCTGACAAATTGGTGACTATCTGGGCAGATGGGCAGGGAAGCTGAATTGCCTCTTGAGCCCTGCACAAGTGCTGTTCAGCTCTGGCTGGGGTATCTCTGTGTGTGGCATCTGCAAAGCTGCACTGAAAGGTTTCACCACCACCTGATGTGACTCACCAGAGCACAGATGCCCCATGTACCTGGATTTTCAGTCCCGAGAGCTACAAACCCAGAGGTGCTGTGTTGCAGGGGGGTGTACACACCTCTCTGTGTGCACACCTCTCTGCATGCTGGGAGGTCCGTACGGTGCAAGGATGGCACCCACAACGCCTCTTCCACAGAAACGAGGTTGGACAATTTGACAAGCTTCACGAATGCAATTCACTCTAAAAAAATACCTTTCTCCGAAATCTGAACAACAGTCTTCCAAAGGTGAGGGCCTGTGCTCCTTGATTCAAACGCTAAGCAGCAATAAATGCCTCTGCAGCAAAGGAATCCACATTAACCTGGCCACAGATACCCCCTCTTCAGGGCAGGCAGCTATTAAAAGCTTGCTGCTTGTTATCCCCGTTATCTCCCTCGGATGTGGTGTAGTGAAGCAGAGCATGCTGATACATTGCCCAGCTATGGTGCCTACAGATGTCCTAACAAATAAACTCTCTTTCAGGACTTGGTTACGAGCACTTGAGATTAGTTCAAAAAGAGAGTCTGTGGCAATGTCTCTCTCAGGCTGCTCTTCAGGGTGCATTTCTTTTCCTTCACTACTTCTCTCCCCGTCCTAGTATCGCTGTGCAAAAGAGAGGTGCAGTTTGTCACTCTGTGATGCTAGAAAATAATGAGTACCATCAGGAATTCTGCTTGTCTTCCATAAAAACCTCATAACTGAGAGCTATTTTATAAACCCCTGTCAGTTCTGTGCCCATATTTCTTATAAAACTACACCCATCAGCCACTATTTCTCCACTCGGGCTCATAATTCCTTCTCTCCTCATTCTTTTAAACAGCTACCTCGTCTCACATCACTCTCTGCATAAACTGAGCTTGACTGATGTCTGGGTAGTATCATCCACTGCTTTCCTGATTAGTTACATACACAGCAAGGGCTTTCAATTTCTTTCTTTAGTGGTACGCCCCGGCTCTTTCTCTTAGGACAGAGCAAAAAAAAAAAAAAAGCCTCCTTTTACAGCTTCCATTGCAGGTTAAGCTTTCCTCCACAAAAGCAATAAATGTGCTTCTATTTCCCTGTGTACTGAACCTACCTGCAAAAGGATCCTATTTCCATCATGGTCTTCTGTCTGCCACCTGCCTTCACTGATGGGGCTGCAAGGGTTGGGCAAGAGAGGCACAAGCTGCCCCACATCTCTCACTCTGAACTCCAGCACCGCTGACTCTGTCGGCATTGGCACCTGGCCCTTCGGAAGTTTTTTTAAAGAAAACTGAATGTCTATTTCCATGTTAGAATAGACAGGAAAAACACAAAAGTCTGCTTTTTTCTGACATACTGGTCTTTTCAGTATTAACTCGTACAATTTCAAAATGTCAACAAAGTTTTCACTCCTGCAGTATATAGTGAAGCGGATAATTTCTTTCCCGTAGTGCACTGGGCGAATGGCCCATAGAGGAGTCTCTGGAGCCAAAGTGTAGAAGTCCTGGCTGCATGGCATGTAAGGGAGGAATTTCCCATGCACTCGCTCGGTGTGGTGGTAATGCCAAGGTGGCTGCTGGAAGGTTTCGTGGAGCTGCAAGATTGCTTCTTCCCCATATTCCTCCTGCAGAAACAGAATGACGGCAAGGGCTGGCTGAGAAACACCAGCCTTACCTGGCTTCCCGCGCTTCTTGGGCACTCGTCTTTCTGAGACTCGAAACAGCTGGAGGTCTGGATGGATCCAGGCTAGAAGCTTATCGATGGCTTGCTGAAGAGTCTTGGATTCACCTGGGTCTGTGATAATATGCACACTAACAAGGAATGGGTCTTGTATGCCTTCCACAGAAAGTTCACCTGAGAGTATAAAAAGAAAAATAATAGCCTTTAAGATTTGTAACCAAGTTGTCAACATTTAGGTGAGCAGTGAAGGAGAAACAGCCTACTCAGTCACACTGGGCTTTTTTTTCATCTTTCTCAAGTGCACCTGCAGTAAACTAAAAATCATGTACAGAGATATAGCAACCAAGAAAATAATCAGAAGACAGAGAAGTTTCATGAAGCATACCATAACAGTCGCTCTTTCTACTGAGGCAGCATCCAAAAGATGTCACCCGGTGTGTGTTTCTGTGTCAGAAAAGAGCTGCCCCATACAGCTGAGCAGTAGGAAAGATAAAAATACTGATGTACAGCAGGCGTGAAAGGGGCACTGATGATATGCAGAGTGATCAGGGTGGACAGTGTTCATCCCACCTTGTTTTATTTTCTGCCAGTTGGCTTGGAGCATGGAAAATCACAACACTGAAATCCACTCTTATCACCTTGACTTTGGCATTTTCCACCCAGTTAAGAGTGTTCTGTGTCCTGGAGGCAACTGTTTTAATAAGTAAGGCAAAGTTTGTAGGGAGTGGTAATATCTTTTATTAGACCAACTGATACAGTTGGGAAAAAAAAAACAGACAAGCCTTCAGGCACACAAGCCTTTCTTCAGGAAAAGATATTACTCGTCTCTACAAATCCTGCACTGTTTATGTCTTCAGACCATCAAGACTATAATACTACTACTTCAAGGTTTTTATAAGACTAGGGAAGACTGGTAAAAGCAGGAAGCACAAAAAATTACACCTACTCAGGGGAAAAAAGAAACCTCTGGTTAGCCTTGGGAATGTTCACAGGGGCTCTAACTGTTTTTGTCCCTGAAACCTCTTTGACAGCTCAGAAGCAGAGCAATGGCTGGTTGGAGGGCAGGGGAGAAATTGTCAGTTCTGTTCTGCTGGACTTGCATGCCAATAAAGATGCATGTGAATGGAGATCCAAGACAATTTAATAAATTATCCAGGTAATCTGGCTGTTTTGCTGAAAAGGTTCCCTCTGTGTGGTGTTCTGAAACCACCTCCATGTCCAAGACCCCGAGCCTGGGCACAAAGCCTAAATGTGTGAAGCCTTAGAAAGGCTTCCCAAGCTTTTCATTGTGCACACCACATTTAATAGGGGGATTGTCTCACAGGCTCTTTCCCCTCCTATTGGCAATCAGTACGAACCTCTCCCTCCTCCCTCCTGGCATCAGAATAACATTCCTATGATACTTCAGCAATTGCTTTAATGGAAAAATAGTATTATACAAGTAATGTATTTTAGCTGTCTTTCAATACAGAATAGCTGCAAGACCCAGAGAAAAGCTAGATGCAACTGCACAGCTTTCCAGAGACGACTGGTAAACATACCATCAGCCTCAATTTAGAAGATGCAGAAAGATATGGTATGCAGAGCAAATATCAAGCATGCATTTTGCCTAGGGGAGATATAGAAAAATCAAGTAAATAATCAAAAATACAATTGCGGCAGAGTTCTTGTACCTCTGCACGAAATGGGTGATGCGGAGTGACTTTCTCAGGTGGTTAATGGATGAAAAAAACTGAAGCAAAAAAAAAAAATCTGTGTTGGTATATAGCAAGAGGCTTTGCTATGACAATTGTTACTGGCAGGTAATTCTTTGAGATATCCACTGTGGACAGTCACAGTGTGGGAGAAAAACAAAGGGGGTGTTGGGGGGAGATCCTCTGATGGTCCTTTACACAGGACAGCAGGACAGGAAGGAAAACAAATTGCAGAGGACAGTGATCTAATAAAACCAGAAAGAAAGTAATTGCCATGGCTACGCAGTCATTCATTTTCTAGGGCTGGAATAGAAGATGTTCAGCTCTTTCCTCCCTCTGTTCCCTTTGTTACACAAATGCTAGCAAAGCCTGCAACAAGTGACAGGCTTGATATTTATGCATATAAATGACTGCAGCTCTGAAAGAAGCCTGGGCACAACAACGTGAAAGCAGAGAGCCATCGTTCCTGTTGGCTTCTTGCTCTGCATGGAAAAAAAAATCTCTGAGCACGGCTTTTCTGCCCTCCTGTTGCTCAGCATGGTGCATGGACACTGAATGGCTAAAGCATTTTTCAAAAGTGGAGCCTTGTGGGAGCCAGCCCCAGCATTAGTATTCTGCAGCCATCGCTGCCTGTGCCCATCAGCGCCAGATGCTCGCAGCACCAGCCTCAGAAGACCACCAAAGCACGGCACAAAGCCATGGTTAGGAGCCAGGGTTATATGTGCAGCAGAGCAAATAATCTTTTTTTCTGAGCTAGAAGCAACTATGCTGAAGGGGGAAAAGTCTAACAAATCAGTACAGAAAGAGCTTCAGTATCTATTTTATATTAGCAAAGATGCTTTTACCACAACACTTTTATGCCATTCATTATGTTGCTTCTGGGCTTATAAAATGGGAGCCCTTTCTGTTTTGGTAAGAAAAAGAGAAACATGAGAAAAGCAGAAATATGAGGCAAGGAGCTAAGGGAAACTTCCCCTGAACCGATGATAAGTCGCAAATTGTTTCTGGGTTACTAACAAGTCTTTTTGCTTCAACTGACAAGGAAGGGGGGAAAACGACACCATTTCTCATGACACAGTTCAGTTTGCCCCCGGCAAATTGTCACAGAAGCAAATGAAAGCTCTGCATATGTATTAGCCTTCCTGTGTTACTAGTTAATCCCACAGAAAATATCAAAATGCTGAGGCATCTATTTGAAAATAAGCTCACAGTTCTCACAGCTATTACATTTTTTCTTGCCTATGACAGAAGGGGATTAGTTCTCTTTGAGTTGGCAAGGCACTAACATTGCTAAGAGGTAATTACAACCAGGATTGAAAGAGTATTTTACAATTCTAAACTTTTTACTCCTCTTTTAGGTAGTATTAACCAACCATGAGACGTTAAAGCAAACAGTCAGCCCAAATGCTGTGGGGCTGTCACACTTGATGTCCTAAAGCTGGTAGCTGAGAGTAGCCTGATATTTTATGATTGAGCTTTGGATCAGTCCTTCTCTACATATTACTTCTATTTTGTTGCTGACGCAATATTGCTGAGCGAAGAAAAAACAAAGTCCTGCAAAGCAGAATGGCAGTCTTGTCCTGTGGTTCTTCCTCCCCTCCTCTCGCTGCCCAGAAACCAGGATCTTTTCATCCAAAAGACAATCTGACAGAAAGCAGTGGGTGCTGTCAAGTCTGTCTGTGCCAGCTGCCTCATTTCAGTAGGACTTCACTGAAATTCCAGCTGCCTTGTCTTAGGGGAAGACAGGACAGGTACCTGCCTGTAGCTCAGTTGTCTACGTCCCCTGCCGAGTGCTTGGAGAGAAGCTGCCGCCTCTGAAAAACCTGCGGAGGATGATCATAGAATCATAGAATGGTTTGGCTTGGAAGAGGCTTTTAAAGGTCGTCTAGTCCAACCCCCCTGCAGTGAGCAGGGACATCTTCAACTTGATCAGGCTGCTCAGAGCCTGTCCAACCTCACCTCAAATGTTGCCAGTTTTGGGGCATCTACCACCTCCCTGGGCAACCTGTGCCAGTGCTTCACCAGCCTCATTGTGAAAAATGTCTTCCTTATGTCTAGTCTAAATCTACCCTCTTTTTGTTTAAAACCATTACCCCTTGTCCTATCACAACCGGCCCTGCTAAAAAGTCTGTCCCCATCTTTCCTGTAAGCCCCCTTTAAGTACTGGAAGGCTGCAATAAGGTCTCCCCAGAGCCTTCTCTGCTCCAGGCTGAACAACCCTAACTCTCTCAGCCTGTCCTCACAGGAGAGGTGTTCTATCCCTCTGGTCATTTTTGTGCCCCTCGTCTGGACTCGCTCCAACAGGTCCATGTCTTTCCTGTGCTGAGGGCTCCGGAGCTGGATGCAGGACTCCAGGTGGGGTCTCACCAGAGCAGAGTAGAGGGGCAGAATCCCCTCCCTTGACCTGCTGGCCATGCTTCTTCGGAGACAGTTGACTTTCTGGGCTGTGAGCGCCGACTCATGTCCAGCTTATTGTCCACCAGCACCCCCAAGTCCTTCTGGGCAGGGCTGCTCTCAATCCCTTCATCCCCCAGCCTGTGTTGAGACTGGGGGTTGCCTCAACCCAGGTGCAGGACCCTGCACTTGGCCTTGTTGAACCTCATGAGGTTTGCATGGGCCCATTCCTCGAGCTTGTCCGGGTCCCTCTGGATGGCATCCCGTCCCTCAGGCATGTCAACCGCACCACTCAGCTTTGTGTCATCTGCAAACTTGCTGAGGGTGCACTCGATCACACTGCCTATGCCATTGATGAAAGTATTAAACAGTACTGGTCCCAGTAGGAACCCCTGAGGGACACCTCTCATCACTGATCTCCATCTGGACATTGAGCCATTGACTACTACCCTCTAGATGATCTTGGCTCCCTAATTCCTTTCCTCACCCCTCACTCTGTAGGGAACAGCGGCATCTGCAGAGGACAACCCTCTCAGCATCCAGATCTGCCCAGCCCTCCCCTGGCCAGAAGTGGCTAGTGGGATGGCAATGACAACAATGGCAATCTAGTGACACAAACACCCATGGGTGAAGTGGGAAGCAATGGGTTAAGTGCTCTGCTCCCTTGGGGTGGAGAGCAGGGTGAGGGGCGCAGCCACAACCCCTGAGCGGTGCCATAAAGACTCCGGTATCTGGTAACACCATCATCCTTGCTGCAGCTGGCCAGGAAGGCAGGGCTCCTGGCCCAAAGCAGGCACAAGCGGGTGTAACTTCTGGTCAGCAACCCCAGCAGCTGGGAAGCAGCTAGGCTCATCTGGAGGTACGGGGAACTGGAGTTACAACTCCTTCTCCCTGAAGTATGTACGCATTTTACATTTAAACCACACAAGAGGCAAAATGTCCCTAGAAGCAATGAGCACAGTTTTCTCCCATGCCACCTGAGTAACCCTAGGTTAGAGAAGTCTTCCTCTTGCATTTGCTTTTGGGCCCAGGACTCTTGCACACCTGGCTCAAGCAGAATGTTTACTGGGTTATCTGGCCATGACCTTGCAGTCTGGTCCCTCTTTTACGCTGTGAGAGGCCGGGGTTGCATTCCCCTGGAGCCGCCCTGCACGAAGACCCGTCCTTTCTCAGCGCAGTGCTCCAACCACTTTTTTATTTCAGGTGAAGTCACCACCTTCAGCAGTCTTGATGACATATGATTTTCCAGGCTTCTCCAGTAGACTTGGCTGGAAATCCACTGACTGCCTAAAATCAGCCCATAGCAAAGCTTAGGAAGGATGAAATGTCTCTCCTAACCCTGTGCTGGTGAATCAAGACATGGACCTAAAGACCTCTCAGACTCACCAGGAGATATTTAATGAATAGTTACCTACAGGGTTAGGCAAACCTGGTATGTGAGCTAAGATGGAGTCTACGCAAAGAGAAATTTTAGGCAGACTGGATCCCAGCCCCAGTCTGTGCATGGGAAAGTGTGTTTCCAAACTGTGGCAGGTATTATCAATCTTCTAGCCACCTACATTTTCAATCTTCTATTCAGGAAACTCAGAGGAAGTATTCAACCTATAAATACTTGACATCATTTTTTTTTTAGCTGACCTGCAATATTGCACTGAGAATCTAAATACTGGAACATGAACTTCGATTTTCCTGCTGTGGCATGCTGCTTCATGGGAACCAACAGCCAAACCTCTCTTACACTGTACAGACTAGATTCCTTTATCACTACATCAGGCAGTAAGATTTCGCATTTCATTCTGACAAAATTGCATGGTGCACTACAAGATATGTAAATCAGTCAATGGGAGAGGGTCAGAGTGAATGTACCAAGCTTCTGACCTGCATCTCCCATAGAGCAGGACTTCATTATCAGGAAATAAATGCTATCAGGAATTAATGAAATAATTCAAAACTGAACATTACAGATCAGCATATTTTGTTCATTGTTAATAAATCAAAATGTTTCAGCTGTGGGAATGTAAAAAATCCAAACACTTTATAAATAATGTCAGAAAAAAAGCACTATAACATTTCCTAATTGAAACTTCCGGGGATTTCTGTTGCACAGAAAATGTCAATATTTCCCTATTTCAATCCCATTCCAGAACACTAAGAAATGTCAAGATGGTTGCATTTCTTACCGAACAGGACCTTCACATTTTATCTGAGTCCAAGGCAAGACTGACCATTTTAGGTGTATTAATTGAAAGGCTTATGAGCAGACACAGAGACAGAGGCTATTTTCATAAACAAGGAGCATCACTTTATGGGCAGCTGCAACAGAAGCTGTTACTGGACACCTCTGGCAGCAGAACCCACTGTGAGGTCATGCTTTGATGAATTATGCAGCATCAATAATCTTTTGAACAAGCAGGATGTGACAGATTCACCAGCTCCTCCATTCTCTGTCCCCGCTGTTTAATAGCATCTGACAAATGCGGGGCTGCAGGATAATGTGCTTCTCAGCACGCCCTGCTTTGCATACCACCTCAAACTCATGAAGGTTGTTCAGAAGCAATAAGAAAGGGGATATTCTGCACAGCACAGCGACAAGAGGAGAAACGTCTTTCACGCTCCCATCAGAGCAGCATTTTCCTGTGGAGCTGCAGTTGAATATTCTCTAATGGAGATAATGGTGCCAGGATGCTCACTCCCCCATCTGCACTAGGGTAGTATAGACAATGCACAGCAGACCAGCATACTGACAAGCATGGCAAAATGGTCAATCTGCTCCTCCAGATGGGCACATGATATAGGCTCTCTGTGCTGTTATCCAGTTGCTGTAGAACCAAAAAAAAAAAAAAAAAAGTATTGAGCAAAAATGAAGCTGGAAAATTAAGCCCATTATCTGCCTGATGGAGATAAAAAGCTTTCTCTGGTACATTAACATGAACAGTGTTACGAGGTGTCATTGCCTTTAGTGTACAGCATGCAGCCAGCCCTGCGGGAATGAATCTTACCAAAAAGTGATGCTTAATGCCCACAGAAGCCCTGCATGATCAAGCAAAAGCAATGGCAGATCTCATCATGTGGTACTTTTGCTGTTAGATGGTGCAGCAGTTGCTGAAATTCCCCACTGGGCTTACATGCCCCAGTGAATTCTCATCCCTCCCCACCAGCTACATTTCCCCGACCTGCCTAAGGGTAACCTTTCATGATCAACTTAAGCTGCTGTTGACGGGGGCCATCTCACATCCTTCACCTCTCCATGCACTCCTGCCCACTCCATTATGTTGGCCTGGGTACTTGCGTGGCTACACATCTTAAGCTGATCATGCAGCTGCACCCTGACACTCGCTCTCCTGTTTGCAGTCACAGGGTCTATGATGCCAAGATCAATATCTTGGCTTGCCTTCAGGACCATATGACCCCCATCGTCTTCATAGGAAACACAACCGTTGTGGCCCAGAGTCATCCCACGGAAGGTTAG